GTAACACTCTTCTCATTTTTTTACTTTCATGATATCTTCCTTTCTTGACAGGCTCTGATCTCCTTGTACACGGAAATCAGAAGGAGAATGGCAGAGAGTTTAAGGCTTGAGACTTATCCTTCCTGGATTCAAATCCCTTTAGGGATTTTACCTGATTAGGAAAGTTATATTTCTTTGCTTAATTTTTTTTTTTCATCTGAAAAATATAAATAATACAAGTTCCTCTGTGTGGGATTTTTTGTGATAATTATATAAACCCACACATATAAAACACCTGTCTATACCAATGTTAGCTATTATTATTCACTGTTTTATCTCTACTACCTGGAACAAAATAGACTTTCTAAGATATATTAGTAGAATAAATGAATAAGTGACTGAGAGAATGTGCATTTGGCAACAACCAACAAGGATTAATTGATTCATTTTTCTCTTGTGGAGTTAGTATCCTAGGTGTGTCTGCAGAAGTGGGAACATATCAGTTTCTCTAGAGTTGAGGTTTTCTCAAACAGAATGACATTGTGTAAGGCTATTGAGGATACATGTAAGAGATTGGCTAAAATGACTGGAAAAGTAATACCATTTGTGAGGGGGAAAATCATGTATTATACAATTATTTACAGTCTTTATTTTGGTCAGCTTTGTTTTGGTCAGCTTTGCATTGCTGTGACCAAAAGACCAAACTGCAGAAAACTTGAAATGGACCACCTTTTGACCCAGCTATCCCACTGCTCCTTCTATACCCAAAGGACTTAAAATCAGCATATATAGTAATGCAGCCACATCAATGTTTATAGCAGCTCAACTCACAATAGTTAAACTGTGGAAGCAACCTAGATGCCCTTCAATAGATGAATACATAAAGAAAAGGTGGTATATATACACAATGGAATATTACTCAGCATTAAAAGAGAATAAAATTATGGCATTTGCAGGTAAAAGAATGAAGCTGGAGAATATCATGCTTAGTGAAGTAAGCCAATCCCTAGTTTTTCTAGTGTTTTGAACATGAGGGGGTGCTGTATTTTGCCAATTACTTTCTCTGCCTCAATTGATATAATCATATAATTCTTTAAGTCTATTGATGTGATGAATTATATTTATTGATTTCCATCTGTTGAACCAACCTTGCATCCCTGGAATGAACCCCAGTTGATCATGGTGCACTATTTTTTAAATACGTTTTTTATGAGATTTGTCAGAATTTTACTGAGAATTTTTACAACTATGTTCATCAGGAATATTGACCTAAAATTTTCTTTTCTTGATATGTTTCTGCCTGGTTTTGGTTCAGGATCATACTAGCTTCATAGAATGAGTTTGGAAGGGTTTATTCCTTTTCTATTTCATGGGATAATTTGAGAAGTATTGGTACTAATTCTTTTTTTCAGGTCTTGTAGGACTCAGTTGTGAATCCATCTGGTCCTTCCTGGGCTTTTCATGGTTGGTAGGCTTTTGATGGTGTCTTATATTTCCTTGCTTGAAACTGATCTTTTTAAATTGTGTATGTCCACTTGACTCAGTTTGAATTGAGTTTGAAATGAGTTTGAACTCAGTTTGAAATATGTCTCTAGAAATTTGTTGGTGTTCTCAAGTTTTTCTATTTTACTGGAGTATAAATTTTCAAAATAGTTTCTAATTGTTCTCTGTATTTCAGTAGTGTCTGTTATGATATTTTCTTTTTCATCACAAATTTTAGTTTTCTCCCTCCTCCTTTTTATTAGAGTGGCTAATGATTTGTCAATATTATTTATTTTTTTTCCAAAGAATCAGATTTTTGTTTTCTCAATTTTTGAGTTTTTTTTTGTTTCAATTTCTGCCCTGATTTTAATTATTTCCTGTCTTCCATTACTTTTGGGTTAGTTTGTTCTTCTTTTTCTATGGCTTTGAGCTGTAATGTTAGGTCGTTTGTTGACTTTTTCTTCTTCTTTTTTTTTTTTTTGTTTTTACATTTTTTCTTCTTTATTTTAAAGAAAAGTTTATTGAAAATATGAAAAACAATTCCCAAAGATTGACTTTTCCAGAAAACTATAGCTATACATTGCATTGCATTCATCATATTAAAACATACATTAGCCACAAATACAAAAATTATTAAGAAGCTACCACTGTTCAACAATTTGAGCAACAAGAAAGTAACAACATGATGACCTGCAAAGGATGGGCTACTTAAGTACCTTTTAAAATTTGTCCTTTTTAGTTATACATGACAGTACTTTGACATATTATACATACATGGAATATAACTTCCCATTCTTGTGGTTGTACATGATATGGAGTTACTCTGGTCATGTATTCATATATGAACATAGGAAAGTTCTGTCCAATGCATTCTACTGTCTTTCTGTTTTCCATCTTCCCTCCCTTCCCTTCATTCCCCTTTGTCTAATCCAATGAACATCTATTCTTCCCCCACATTGTGTGTTAGCATCTGCATATTAGAGAAAACATTCAGCCTTTAGATTTTTGGGATTGACTTATTTCACTTACTATGATAGTCTCCAGTTCCATCCATTTACTGGCAAATGCCATAATTTAATTCTTTATAGCTGAGTAATATTCCACTGTGTATACACACAACATTTTCTTTATTCATTATTCTGTTGAAGAGCATCTAGTCTAGTTCCATAGCTTAGCTATTGTGAATTGAGCTCCCATAAATATTGATATGGTTGCATCCCTATAGTATGCTTAAGTCCTTTGGGTATGAAACTGCAAACTGGTGTAATCACTATGGAAATCAGTATGGAGATTCCTCAGGAAACTTAGAATGGAACCACCATTTGACCCAGTTATCCTACTCTTTGGTTTATACCCAAAGGACTTTTTCTTCTTTTAATAAATGAACTCCATGCAGTGAACTTTCCTCTTAGTACTGCCTTCATAATGTCCCAAAGATTTTGGTAAGTTATATTGGAGTTCTCATTTACCTCTAAGAATTTCCCTGATGTCTTCTGTTATCCATGTGTCATTTAGTAGCATATTGTTTAGTCTCTAGGTGTTGGAGTATCTTCTATTTTTAATTTTATCCCTGATTTCTAATTTCATTCCATTATGGTCAGATAGAATGCAGGGTAGTATCTTTATTTTTTTTTTTGTATTTGCTAAGACTTTCTTTGTGGCATAATGTATGGTATATCTTGGAGAAGCATCCATGTGCTTTTGAGAAGAAAGTGTATTTGCTCAGTGATGGATGCGGTATTCTATATATGTCTGTTAAGTCCAAATTATTGATTGTATTTTTGAGTTCTATAGTTTATTTGTTTAGTTTTTGTTTGGAAGATCTATCCAGTGGTGAGAGAGGTGTATTAAAGTCACCCAATATTACTGTGTTTTGGTCTATTTGGTTCTTGTTGTTGAGAAGGGTTTGTTTGACATACATAGATGCCCCATTGTTTGTGGCGTAGATATTTATAATTGTTATGTCTTGTTGATGTATGAATCCCTTAAGCAGTATGAAATGTCCTTCTTTATCCTTTTTCACTAGCTTTGGTTTGAAGTTCACTTTATCTGATATGAGGATGGAAACCCCTGCTTGTTTACATGGTCCCTGTGAATGCTATGTTTTTTCCCACCATTTCACCTTCAGTCTGTGGATGTCTTTTCCTGTGAGATGAGTCTCTTGAAGGCAACATATTCTTGGGTCTTTTTCTTTTAATCCAATCTGTCAGTCTATGTCTTTTAATTGATAAGTTTAGGCCATTCACATTCAGGATTATTATTGAAATATGATTTGTATTCCTGGACATTTTGGTTTATTTTTGTTTTTGAACTTGACTTGGTTTCTCCTTTGATTGGCCTTTCCTTTAGTGTAGTTCCTCCCTTTGCTTATTTTCATTCCTCCTCCTGGAATATTTTGCTGAGGATACTCTGTAGCACAGGCTTTCTCGCTGTATTCTTTTAACTTTTGTTTATCATGAAAGGTTTCTATTTCATCATCAAATCTGAAGCTTAATTTTGCTGGATATAAGATTCTTGGTTGGCATCCATTTTCTTTCAGAGCTTAGCATATGTTGTTCCAGGATCTCCTGGTTTTGAGGATCTGGGTTGAAAAATCTGCTTAGATACGAATTAGTCTCCCCCTATATATGATCTGATTCCTCTCTCTTGCAGCCTATAAGATTTTATCCTTATTCTGTATGCTAGGCATTTTAATTATATTGCACCTTGGTGTAGATCTGTTGTAATTTTGTACATTTGGTGTCCTGTAAGCCTTTTTTGTATTTGATTTTCCAATTCATTCTTCATGTTTGGGAAATTTAATGACATTATTTGATTACAGAGATTTTGCATTCCTTTATTTTGAATCTCTGTGCCTTCCTCTATCCCAGTAAATCTTAGATTTGGTCTTTTGATGCTATCGCATAATTTTTGGATTTTCTGTTCATGGTTTCTTACCATCTTCACTGTGTGATCAACTTTATTTTCCAGATTGTATACTTTGTCTTCATTATCTGACATACATTGTCTTTCAAGTGATCTAGTCTGTTGGTGATGATTTCTATTGAGTTTTTTAATTTGGTTTATTGTTTCCTTCATTTCAAGGATTTCTGATTGTTTTTATTTTATTTTTTTTTCAAAATCTCTCTCTCTTTTTTGAAGTAATCATTTGCTACCTGTATTTGCTCCCTTATTTCTTTGCTGATGTGATCAACGGTTGCCTGTGTTTACTCTCTTATCTCTTTGTTGGAGGCATCAATTTTTTCCTGTGTTTCCTCATTTAGGTTGTTCTTTAATTTACAGATCATTTTAATTATGTATATTCTGAACTCCTTCTCTGACATTTCATCAATTGCGCTGTCCATGGATTCTATTATTGTGGTATCCATGTTTGTTTGGGGCATTTTATTCCCTTGTTTTTCATGTTGTCTGTGTGTCTTCCTTTCTTACAGTGCAGATCTGAGGTATTACAGTTTCTACCCTATAATCTTGTAGTGTTTGTGCAGATTATCTGTATCTCACCTTGGTGTTAGACTTCCAGTCCCTGCTGGTGTCTCATAATGGATGCTACTGCAAGTAAAGGTCATGCAATAGTGGAGGTAACTCAAGATAGTAGTGGGGGTGTCCCAAGATGGATGCAACCACTTTCAGAGATGGGGCTAAAGGGGTGGACCTTACAATGGCTTTGGGCTGCCTGTTCTGAGATGCAACTGCTTCTAGACCCTCTCTCTTATTGCAAGGTGTAGGCTACTGTGTAGGGAGGGCTATGGAGATGGCTGCAGTGTCCTAAGATGGAGGTAGTCTAGGCCTGGGCTCCCAGGTAAGCCCACGGGGTGATGCTGGGCCTGACCTGGGCCTGGGCTCTCTCGTGGGTCTCTGAACATTCTTGCATTTCCTCATACATGAGCTTTTGGGGGACACATCATATGCAAATCACAATAATCTTCTCCCTTGTCTTTCAAACCTCTTCTAATAAGAGTAGGCGAACCCATATCCCAGTTTTCTTTGTTGTGTGTTTGGGTGTGGTAGGATTTATATGTATGTTTATTTGTCTGAGCTGAATGATGGGTGCAAAGATGCAAGACTGGAGAATTTTTCAGAGACAGCTAAATGATTCTATGTGAGAGAAGGAACTGTAGGGAAGATCTATGGATATGAAGAGGCTGGAACACATGAGGTAGAAGGGTGTGGTAACAGAAGAGTAGTGGAGGACATGAAGTGCTAAAATGAACCTTGAATAATTTGGAGACAAGAAGTTCTTGTGGAAGTTTTTATGTTCTGTGTATTTTGCTGATGATGTTTTGCCAAATGATGTAGGTTAAGGCTTTCTACTTAATTCCTTACCAACACATGAGTAAAATCAAATCTTATCCTCTAAGATCTCATGGCACTGTTATTATAAAGGTAGTCTTTCTTCAGGGTGGACACAGACAACAGTCAGCATACTTTATGGTATCTGAGTATTTTCAGGGGTCCACAGAGTCTATCAACAACATAATATTTAATGTAACAGATTTACAATGTTCTTGATTGCATTGTATGTATGTGTGTATGAATACATACAATATGTATGTATTTGTCTATTCCCACATACTGTAATTTAACTTTGTGTGCTTTTATCTTAATTTTAATTAGTCCTCTTTAAAAGAATCAAGATACCCAGAATGTTATCTCCATCATTTAGATACTATGTAGTTTTAGAAAAGCCTCGACTATGAATGCTTCCTTAGTACAATATTTTGTTAAAATGTTAGGTGAACATTGAAGACCATTCAGGAACAATGTGTTAATGTTTTATTTTTCATGCTCTGAGAAATGTAGCAGATCCTTTGTGTATACACATCAGGGTTGGGGAGGAGGATGGCTGTTACATCTTGTGGCTATATCAGGGGGATGGCTCAGTAGAGCCTGTGGAAAGAAAAGTCCCTATTGGAGCAACTAGTTCATGAACCAAAGGCTCTAGGAGCACTTCACCCTACTTGATGGAGGAGCCCCGTAGTCAAGATATAACTTCCTTATTAATAACCAATTTTTCCCCCAGAAGCTTCTTATTAAAAATCAAAAAACTCTTCTGTCAAACTTTCCACCAAGCCTCAAACCTACTGATTTTTCAGTTGACACTTTTGTGGGGATTTCCTGACAGTCAGCTACAAGGAAAGGTTCCAAGAGGCTGGTGCTGGGAAGTAAAGCTGACTCTTGGGACAGATGGCCTTCCCAGTTGGCCAAGAGCTGGCGTAGGGTACTTAACTCAGCTGGTCTTCAGGTGCCTGCCAGGTGCCTGCCCAGAGGCAGTGGTGCAGCCTGTGCACAGCTCACCCTGGAGCTTCCCTCTCTGCTCCACATTTGTTCACTGTGACACTATTTACACCTCTCGGAGCTTCACTCCGTCACCTTAATGAGGGTGTGTGTGAGTGTGGGTGTGTGTAAGCCTTTTTGAAAAAAAAAAAAAAACAGCCCCTTTGAAAAGACATTTGAGATGATTTCTAATGCACCATAGTGCTTTTTCTTTAAAAAATATATATTTATTGAGATAAAATTTGCATGTAATTTTCCCATTAAGGTGTATAATTAAATGTTTGTTAGTAAAATCACAAATGTATGCAAGTGTCATCACAGTCAAGTTTAGAACATTTCAATCATCAAAAAGAGAAACTCTAGGAGAGGAAAGGGGAGAGGTGAGAATGGAGGAAACCCAGGGTTACTGGCGAGGGAGACTTGAGAGGCCAGAGCTTCCTGACTGAGAAGGGAAGGGAAGAGGCTGAGATTGAGAGAAAGGAAAAAGGCTCGGGAAACAACTGTTCCTTCAGAGTTGGCACTGCAAAACTCCAGCACAGGTTTCAGCAACTACAGCATCTGGTCCACCCAGATTTCTTCAGCCAGAGATCTCAGACTGAAAAGGACTTCTCAGAGAAGCATTCAATCCTGGTGAACGATGCCTATAACACCCTTCTGGCCACCCTGAGCAGGGGACTATATTGTAAGCTAAAGCTTCATGGGATAGAGATTCCTGAAGGGACAGATTATGAAATGGATAGTCAATTCCTCATGAAAATAATGGAAATCAATGAAAAACTTGCAGAAGCTCAAAGTGAAGCTGCCGTGAAAGAAATTGAATCCACTGTACAAGCTAAACAAGAAAGAATGTACTGACAACGCGAGCAGAGCTTTTGAACAAGGTGACTTTGAAAAAGCCAAGGAAATTTTAACAAAGATGAAATACTTTTCAAATGTAGAAGAAAAGATCAAGTTAAAGATGACTCCCTCTAGTTAATTACTTATTTAAAGTTTTAAAAATAAATTTCCTGTATTCAAAAAAAGAGAGAAACTCTGTATCATTTAACTGTTACTTCCAATTAACCTATCATTAAGCAACTTGTGTACTTAAGATTTATCTATACTGAAGATTTCATAAATGAAATCACATAATAGGTCATCTTTTGTGGCTGGCTTCCTTCACTTAGCACAATATTTCTAAGATGTAGCTATCCTTCAGTGTCATTACTTACTTTTTATGAGTGAATAATCTAATGTATAGATCTACCACATTTAAAAAAATTTATTTGGTATATATTTCTAGGAGTGGAATCATTGGATCACATGGTTATTCTATGTTTAAATCTTCAAGGAACTACCAAACTGCTGTCCATAATGGAAGTACCATTTTGTATTCCCATGTGCAAAGTGTGTGGATTCCAATTTCTGTACACCTTCATGTAAAGTGATTAACTTATATCCATATCCCTAGCCTGTTGAGTGTTTATATCATTCAAGGATGTTAGATATTCTCAAATGATTTTTCTGCATTTATTGAGATGATTATGTTATGTATTTTTCTTTTTATGCTATTGATGTAGCATATTATGACTATTACTTCAACTTTATATATTGGGAAGGATCTCATTTAGCCATGATGTATGAATGAGCTATGTTTTTTTTTTCTTAATTTTCATTTTGCTGGGTTCATTTTGCTGGCATTTTGTTGGGATATCGTGTCTGTATTCATAGGTGATATTGATCTGTAGTTTTCCTTTCTTGTGATGTCTTGACTAGTTCTGGTATCGTGCTAAGATTAGCTTCATGGAATAAATTGTGTAATATCCTTCCTCTTCTGTATTTTGGAAGAATTGTGAAGAATTGATATTATTTCTTTTAATGTTTAGTAGCATTCACTACATAAGCCTGTGCTGGTAGTATGCTTTTCTTTGTGGTATTTTTTAAAACTATTAATTTAATCATTTTTATAAGTCCATTCATATTATGTATTTCTTCTTGAGTTGGTTTTTATAGCTTTCTAAGAAAATTTTTCCTTTAAATTTAAGTTTTCTAATTTAGTAGCATGCAATTGACCATAATATTAGTTTATAGTTTGTTTTTTTAAAGGTAAATAGTAATCCTGCCCCTTCTTTTATTTCTGATATCAGCAATTTGTCTTTTCTCTTTATAGCTTGGTCAATATGAAAGTTTTACAATTTTCTTGACCTATCCAAAATAATTGATTTCATTGATTTTCTATACCATATGTCTACTTCCTATTTCACTGATTTCTACTCCTTATTGGTTTTGTTTTTTTTTTCCTGCTTTAGGGGTAGCTTGCTCTTTGTTTCCCAGTGGTTCATGTCAAAAGTTAGGTTATTAATATGAGACAAATTTCATTGATAATATAGGCATTTAAAGTAATAAATTTCCCACTAAAACATATTTCAGCTGCATTCCATATATTTAATAATGCTTCATCTTCACTCCCATGTGTTACAAACTAGGTTTTTATTTATTTATTTTTTATTGGTTGTTCAAAACCTTACAAAGCTCTTGACATATCATATTTCATACATTAGATTCAAGTGGGTTTTGATTTCTTTGACTCATTGATTAATTAGAAGGGTGTTGTTTAATTTCCAAATACTTGTGAGCTCCCCGAAATTCTAATTTAATTGCATTGTAGTTGCAGAACAACTCTATTACTTTTATGCTTTTAAATTTACTGAGGTTTGTTTTATGCTTTACCTAGTTCTGTGTGCACTTGAGTAGAATGTATATTCTGGTAATGACGGGTAGACGTCTGTTAGAGCTAATTGGTTTATAGTGCTGTCCAAGTCTTTAATTCCCTTGTTGAATTTCTGCCTAGTATAATGGGAGGTATTATAGTCTTCAAATAATTGTTTTTGCATTATCTATTTCTCTCTTCAGTTGTCAGCTTTTAATTCATTTATTTCGCTACTGTGCTATTAGGCAAGTATATGTTTATGGCTATTATGTATTCCTAATTAACAGACCCTTTATCATTAGAAGATATCTCTATCTAGTAACATATTTTGTTTTATACTCTCATTTATGGGTAGTCTGTAAGGCCACCCAGATTTCTTTTAGTTCTTGCTTATGTAGTATATATTTTTCATATGCTTACTTTCATTTTATTTTTATCTTTGTTTCTAAATTGTGCTTACAATATAGTTCAATATGTTGTAATTTAGTCTGAAAATTTCTGCTCCTTGATTGGGTCGTTTAATCTATTTTAATTAATGTGCCATTATTTAATCTATTTAATATTTATATTATGATATGTATGTAATTTATATCTTCTTTTTCCTTGTTTGTGTTGTCTCATGTCTTTCTTGTTTCCTGCTCCTCCTTTGCAGTCTTTTTTTACATTAAGAGAATATTTGCTAATGTCACATTTTAATTTGTTTTATATTTTAACTATATTTTTGTTATGTCTTTAGTGGTTGCTATAAGGCTTTATAATAAATATCCTAAATTATGAGAATTAGCTTCATATCTGTCTTAATTCCAGTGAAATATAGAACTATTACCGCTTCCTACCACTATTCTCTGTCCCTCCCTTTTTGGTATTATTGTTATACATATTATCTATTAATGTCATAAACCCAATAATACATTGTTACAATTATTTTAAATTTATTTTTAATTGGCATAATTAATTTAGATGACACCTCTTTTAAAGAAATGGAAAAAAAAGAACAATTATATATTTAAAAGTTTTGCCATATTAACCTTCTTAACATTTCTAGTTCTTTTCACTTGTTCTTGTGAATTTGAATTACCACTTGGAGTCATTTCTTTAGCCAAATACAGCTTCACTCCCATTCATCTCCTTTGTACTTTTATTTACAAATATCACATATTTCTGTTTTACATACCCAATAAAACATAATGTACATATTTTTTATATAATTACCTGTTAATCAGTTAACAGCAGAAAGAAAAGTGTTATGTATGTATGTTCATTTTTGTAATTACATAATTTTTTTCTCCTGTGCTGTCCTTCCTTCCTCTCTCTCTCTCTCTCTCTCTCTCTCTCTCTCTCTCTCTCTCTGTATTTGAATTATTTTTGAGTTTCAGGCTAAAAAACTTCCTTGAGGATTTCTTATAAGAAAGGTCATCTAGCAAAAGATTCTCACAGTTCTTTTTTATCTGGGAATGTCACTTTTAAAGATAGCTTTGCTGGGATATTGGATTGTAGTTGGCTTTAAATATGTTATTACATCCTGGCCTCCATTGTTTCAGCTGAGAAGCCAGCTATTAATTTTATTTGGCTTCCCTTGTAATTAATAAGTAATTTTTTTTTCTTTCTGATTTCAAGATTTTTTTTCCCTGTCTTTGTCCCTTAACTTACTATGTATGATCTGTTTGTTGATGAACACTGCATTTATCCTATTTCAAGTTCATTGAGCTTCTGGGTAAGATATTAATAAATTTTGGGAAGTTTGCAATTATTGATTTTGGGAATTTTTTTCTGTTTCTTTTCCTCTTTATTCTTCTTCACATTAGGTGTAAGCCTTTGTGCTTTGTGGTATATCTCATTTCTCTTAAACTGTTTAATCTTCATTTTTTCCACTCTGTTCTTCAGTTTGTGTTTTCACAAACGGAAGTTTATTAATTCTTTCTTCTGCCTCTTCAAATCTGTTATTGGGACCCTCTAATGAAATTTTCATTTCAATTGTTATACTTTTCAATTCTAGACTTTCTGTTTGTCCTTTTTATTTAATTTCTGTTTCCTTATTAATATTCTTAATTTGTGATGACATTATTATCACATTAAAATTTTTTTTTGTCATGTTTCCTTTAGTTTCTTTGAATAATAAAATTTTTGTAAAATTTGTTCTCTGATCTCACAGGTAATTTCTTTTCAGAGTGTATGGTAGTACTTCCTACTTCTTTGCATGTCTCATAATCTTTCTTTGAAAACTAGACATTTTACATTATATATTGTAGCTGTTCTGAGTACTGTTTCTCCTCATCTTAGCCTTCTTGTTATTTGCTTATTTATTTATTTATTTATTTAGTGAGTGGCTGGATCATTGTAGTGAAATTCACTTCCCTGGTATTAAGCCTCTGATGTTGTTCCTTTGGAAGGTACAACCACATACAACCTAGAATGATGATGATTTTGGCAGGGCTTTTTTCCCTGACTACATAAAACCATTAAGCTGTCAAGTTCCATTAATTGCCACCTTATTGCTGGATTGGTTCTAACAATACTCTGGGTCCTAAATTACTCCATAGACTAGGTCTTCAGTATTCTCAGTGGAATCATGTACAAGATAGAGCCTCTGCACCACCAGTGGGGACTCGGCAGAAAAAGGGTAGCCCCGCTCTTTCAGAGGTACTTTCCTGGAGCTTAGTCTCAACAATAGATAACTAGACAGGATGAGAAATGCTGATATCCTGCCCCTTCCAGGAAGATAGAACACTGACTGGTGGCAAAGGGCAAAGATAGTTACAGATTTGGCCTCCCTCAGTTTGGAGTTTCCATCTCACCAAGTTGAGAATCTCTAGTTTTGAGAATACTCAAAGGCTTGAACTTCTACACATTCTATTTCAACTAAATTCAGTTTCTCTGGGAAGAGATTAGGAGCTATCTACTTTAAAGCCTGCTTCTACCCTGCTGTTCTTTGAATATGGGTGCCAAAGTTTTAAGTGCTAGAAGTTTGGTGTCTCCAGTGTGGTAGTACTGAAGTGGTGGAATGTTTAGGAGATAAAACCTAGAGGAGGGTAATTAGATCATGGGCTCCACCTTTAGGAATAGATCAAGAATAGATTGGTCCAATTAGAGTGTATTAATTCCCATTAGAGCAAGTTCTTATGAAAAGAATAAATATGGCCTCTTCTAGCATGCTACAGGGACACTGCTACATCGATGTTCATAGCAGCACAATTCACAACAGCAAGACTGTGGAACCAACCTAGATGCCCTTCAATAGACGAATGGATAAAAAAAAATGTGGCATTTATACACAATGGAGTATTACT